TATTATTCATATATTTTTTTGGGAAATAACTCCGCTAGTTTGCTGTAATTTTTACTACAAAGATCAAACACAAATAAAAATTCTTCAACAAGCCAAAATTCGAACCTATGTGAAAACGGGAATATTGTCTCTTGCCCTTCCAGCTAAGTTACAGGTCGAATTTACTAACCCGACCAGTAATTGGTGTTGACGAAATTCTTCTATGTGTATGATGGTACTTTTATGAAAACGTATTATTCATAATTATATTTTTTAGCAATATCTCCACTAGTTTACTTTAATTAAGTAATTTATGAATGAATTAGAATGTTCATAAATCTATCACAGATGTCACTTACGGCGTTGCAAGTCGAACAATCCAATACAAAGACCTATAAACAGGCACATAGAAGAATTTCATCGACCTAACTCGATCAAAGCTCAGTTAGAAAAGCAACTGGACGGTATTCCCATAATATCAGGATCGAGTCCTGTCGGGTCGAAGGAAGTTTTCTTTGTGTTCGATCTTTGTATTAATAATTATAGAAACTAGTGGAGTAATTTCCGTAGTAATTAACTGCCTCCGTGGCCGAACGGTTACCATGCCGGACTCCCACGCAGAGGTCCCAGGTTCGATTCCCGGACCTTAATACGAATAGTATTAATCTCCTCCTAATGTATTATTTTATTATTCCATACCTTAAGTTCTGTCAGAGCAGAAATAAAAACGGTACTAGGGTTAAACCTCGCAGGACGCCCGTGCCGTCGCGGACCCCGACATCCCGCGCCTTCTCTCCGAAATAATATTGATACGCTTGATCTGTCGCCGTCGCAGTGCGCGAGCCCCTGCTGCCGCAGCACGTGGTGTACCGCTCGCCGCACCCGTCGGACGCGCTGCTGCAGTTCGCGCTGCGCCTGCTGGCCGACGGGCCGCCCGCGCCGGCGCCCTACCGCCGCTACTTCCTGGCCACGTGAGTGCCCGGCGCCGCCCGCCGCCGCCCGCCGCCGCCCGCCGCTGACCCGCCGCTGACCCGCCCGCCCTTGCAGGCTGGCCGACGTGCCCGTGGACGTGTTCCCGTCCGTGGTGCCGTACTCGCGCTACGAGCTGCCGGCCGCGGCCTCGGCGCTGCTGCGCGCGCTGGCGCCGGCGCTGCCCGAGTCGGCCGAGCTGCGCGCCGCCGTGCAGGAGCTGGCCGAGGCGGCGCGGGAGCTGGCCGCCTACGTGCAGGCCAACCGCAACTACCTGGCCGACGAGCTCATGTTCCTCTGAGGCCCGTCCTCGCCTCCGTGTTGGATCTGACGGAACCCGATTCCGAGCCGTTCTCTTGGAAAGTCTCGAGCGCCGTAGCCCTACGCAAATAATCAGTTGTTTGTGTTGTACCATTTTATGTACATCGAAACGAGGATCGGACTCCTAAATATGAAAGACTCGAGCTAATGTTTCTAAACGAACGCCCGATAGAAAGGCGTACAATATTATGAAACGCCTCTAGGACCCGTAAAACTGTCCTCTTAAAGCGTGTGAATGCTCGACGGGCTTCCATTTTATGTGTTTTCGTATGACACCTATTTCGCATTCCTATTGCTAATTGAATCGAAACGGAAAGTGGAACTGCCGTACAGGAGTGCTTTCAAAACGAGACTGAAATTGTGGAGTTCGATGTACCCAGTTTGTAAATAACGCGCGGAATCTATAGATTTCACGGAACGGTGCTAACAATAGTCAGATAAGAAGTCTTTAAAAGTATAAGAGTAGATTTTTGAACAATTTATACGTACCGACCCATTTAACGAAATAGTATTGATGTACATCTACTTATTGTGGTTGCTACAATACTAATTGTGGAGTACAAATTACACGTTATGTGCCTGAATCATTAATATTACAAAAATTACGTAAAACTTTATATTGTATGCCATGTTATTGTACAGCTATGTTATTGATATATTCCGTAATTCTTTTCAAATCCTAAGTACTACTATTTGCTCATTTGAATTACTTATTTAATTGCCTCTTCCCTTTAATACATTAAGTATATTATTGTCAGTAAAGTTAAAAGAGCATTACATAATTATTGTACGTGTAACGTATACAAACACTTGGATGAAAAATATCGTGCGTGCTACTTACGGGCTTTTAATTATCATGTTAAGTATTTCTGGATGTAAGGGTAATTACCAACTTACGACAAAAATCACTGTTAAGATTATATATTTAAACGGAGGGTAGATAACACGGTAATTCATAATAATAAATAATAATAGAATATCAAGAAAAATTAATTATAAAATAATGAGTTAAAAATCTAAAGACGTGTTTTTATCTTAAATTTTAAAATTGGATGGAAGAATGTGTCTTTACGGAGGCTACATTACATAAACCTTCCAATTCAATTTTCGAGTCGATGAGCCCCTTTTTTAAAGAATAAAAGTGTTATTACACAAATAAACTTACGTTCATTTTAAAGTTATTGAAGGATAATAATGATATATATTTTACATGTTGGTAGAAACTGTAATGACAGAAATTTATGGTATTGAGATGTGTTGATGCAAATGCATAAGTTCTTTGCATGGCAGTAATTGCAACAATTTATGATTTTCTGGTCTGTGTACGATATTGTTATAATAGTTACATATTTTGGTAGATAGTTACGCATTGTGATGGTCCTGGCGATGAAAGAGACTGTCTTTTATAGCCTATTAAAAAAACGCTGCTATTTTTTAACGCCTCATGACTAGACTAATGTTTTAACCCTTAAGTCTTGCGCCGCGAGCCATAAGTCGTGTGGCATGTGTCGTCAGACCTCTATATAATTTTATTTGCATTTAGGAAATTAAAATATTTTTATTAAATTTATCAGTCAGAATAGTCATTAATTTAACTGCCCCCGTGGCCGAACGGTTACTATGTTGGCCTGACACGCATAGGTCCCGGGTATATTTCCGGGCCGGGAGAAATATTTTTATGGTCGACATTTATTTCTCTCGTGAGTTTGGATGTAATTTGTGGTTGTCTATGTGTGTCTCCAGGGCACTCGCGGCACAGGGTTTCCCTTGTGCGGGGCTATGTTGAGTGTGTGCGTTAATATTATTGTCCACTCACACAATATAGTACAAATGTTTTCAAATCTGGGGTAGTTTTTGTTGGGGCTAAATAAAATTACTGAATTGGAATTAATTGGAACCGTTGATCAAGTATATCTATTTATTTTCAATATGACGTGTCAACAAACTTTACCAGGAGCTACGACATGTCCTTTGTTACTGTCATTGTAAAGTATGTATGTACGTATACCAAAAGGTTGAATATAATTAATAGTTTTTTTTATATAAATGACATGATTACCTGTATACAATGTACTACTTCATTTTTATATCTAAACTTCTTGTTCAATGAGACATAAAAGCGATATAACCCACCAATATTCAATATATATTAATTAGCCTAAGAGCTTGAACTGTTTTTGAATAATATACACGACAAAGGCGCGAGTCTTTAAAAACATCTCTAGTCGTGGAATCTGTTGGTATAACGACTGAGACTTATTAACAAAAACTTAAACCTCAAGTCAATGGTTTAATAGGTCTTAAAAGACAGTCTCTTTTTCATCACTGAGATCCTGTACCAATATATCGCACATGACAACTAACATAGTATTATCTCAAAATTGCTTTAGGTTATATTAACATTCATTAAAAAATCGTATACGAATGACATACTACTATATACATACTATGCTAATTTTTGGATATCAATTATTAATATACCGCAATTTTGAGAGAAAATATAATATAACGCAATTTTTGAGATAATATGTTAGTTGTCAAGTGCGATACATGAAAATAATGATTGATTGCTAGGAAACATTAGTATAGTTACTTTTAGCCCAATGTTTCATAATTTGAAACTAAGCAATTTCAAGGACTGCCTTTTGAGCCGGAACCTATTTTGTCGACGACGTTGCTGGTACAATATCGGATTGTATAGTCTTCAACATAAATACGTGACGTTTTTGTTTCATGAGCCAAATTGTGTCAATTGTTCATGTATAGTTAATATATTTAAGACATTTTTGCATTAGGTTATTCTTATTACTTTAGTGTTTAGGTGTAACAGTCATAGTTTCCTACTAACAGTTAACCGAATGTGTGTTCTAAGTCATTGATATATTTCAATAATTTCCATAAAAATTTCAAATTAAACTTCGGCATGGTCGTCACTGTGTACAGTACTACAAGTTCCGGACAAGGTGATCAAAGTCATAATAGCATATATATGCTATTTCTTTTCGCAAATTTTAAACTACTTTTTTTATTGAGTTGTTGAATGTTAACTATGAGTGCGATTTATTTGTTACAATGTGTATATTATAATTACAAGACTAGAGGTGTTTTCATAACTTAACCCTCACACAAAAACATAACATTTTTCATAAAAATAAACTGTCTTTTGTATATACCTATTAGATGCATTCTGAAGTCCACTTACACTCGTGTTTCAACCATTACGAGTCAAA